ATTCTTACCAAAGCCAGGAAAGGAGAGTTACGAACGGGCGTCCGCTTGGAGGCCCATCTGCTTAACATCCTTCCTGCTCAAAACACTTGAGAAACTGGTAGATGGCTGGGTCCGCACGCCTGATCTTGTTGATAGGCTGCAGAGACACAGTCAGTATGCCTATATGAAGGGCGTTTCCACGGAGGCTGCCCTTCATCAGATCGTTAGCCTTGTTGACGGGGCCCTTGACTCTGGCGAGTACTGTATTGCAGTGATGTTGGATGTTAAGGGCGCTTTTAATGAGGTTAGATCTGATACCATTATCCGTAGCCTTAGGAGGTTTGGCGTCAACGAAGTATGTGTTCGATATATTGAGCACATGCTTCGGACACGAACCACTTGGGTAACTGATTCTACTTACGAGATTGGGAGGGTGGTGGAGAGAGGGTGCCCTCAAGGGGGTGTCCTCTCACCGCTTCTCTGGGATCTGGTCGTAAGTGAAATTCTGGAAAAACTGCATCATCGGTTCCCTCAACTGTACTCACAGGGCTTTGCCGACGATCTCACAACAGTGGGACGGGGCATTGACCTCGGTACAGTGGGGAGTCATGTGCAGAGAGCAGTAAATCTTGTTAGTGATTGGTGCAAAGAGGTGAGCTTGTCAGTCAATGATAAGCTTGCCCTGGTACTATTCACTAAGAAATACAAATTCATTGCTCCTGTGATTAAGTTGGATGGTATTCCCATCCCTTATCAAAAACAGGTAAGATATCTTGGGGTCTTATTGGATCACAAGTTGAACTGGGGCCCACTGTGCAGGGCTAGGGCACTAAAAGGTATGCGTGCCCTGGCCCAGTGCAGGAGGGCCATTGGTAAAACTTGAGGTCTTTCCCCCAAAATTACAAATTGGATCTATAAATCCATAATTCGCCCGGCCATGGAATATGGGTCACTCTTGTGGGCTCCGGCCACAAAGGTGAAGTCCCACATGGCCCAGTTGCAAAGAGTACAGAGGTGTGCCATGCTTGGTACAACCGGTGTAATGTCTAGCACTCCTACTGCAGCCCTGGAGTGTCTACTGGGACTTGTCCCAGTGGACATCCGGGTTCAGCAAGTTGCACTACGAACGTACCATCGCCTCGCTCACCACGGCCAATGGAAAAAATGGGCCGGGGGTGATCGTACGAGGGCGTTAAAGCACAACAAGTTTGTCGAAATCATGGCGTCTGGTATTGATGAATTCCAGATGCCGTGTGAGAAACTTGTTAATCCGCCAGCAGAGAGGAACTTCGAAACCTCTATCTGTTCGGTGAAAGATTGGGAGGATGGTAGCGTGCCCATGAATGCCTCCGACGTGAACTGTTTTACTGACGGTTCATGGATGGGTGAGTGTTCGGGTGCGGCTTACTACTTCACATACAACAATCTTGCTCAGGAAGCTGTGAGGTGCTCAATTCCTCTGGGATGGGCACCCACAGTTTTCCAAGCAGAAATTATGGGTATTATCAGGGCTTCTGAAACGCTGACCGACAATACTCATAACTATAGCACCGTTGACTTCTTCATTGACAGTCAGGGTGCCATCAAAGCGCTCACTAGCCCATGGCCAGTTTCATCACTGACTGCTGAGGCTATTGAGATGCTTAATCATATTGGGGAGACTAAGAAGGTAACACTTCATTGGATCCCTTCTCACCATGGATTTGAAGGAAATGAAGTGGCTGACCTGTTGGCCAAGGATGGTACTCTTACTGGGTACCTTGGCCCGCAGCCCTCTATTCCTCTATCCAGAAGCACTGTAATCTCCAGCATTGTAAACTGGGCAAGATTGCAGCATACCAAATCTTGGGAAAGCAGCAAGGGTTGTTTAACTTCTAAAGCTTTTCTCTCTGCCCCTTCATCGGGGCTTAGCAGTAAGCTTTTAACCCTAAATCGGAAGAATCTCCGATCAGTAACACAAACCTTAACCGGGCATTGTACTTTAAACGGGCACCTCAGAACAATGGGATTAGTTGATGAGGCTATGTGCCTATGTGGCCGTGGCCCTGAGACTGTATTTCATTTTCTTGGGTCCTGCGACAAGTATTGTGCCCAAAGGTCAGAACTCTTTGGGAGGCATGAGTTGCCACCAGAGCAAATAGTGACTATGTCTCTGCCCGATCTAATTCAATTCATAATCAGATCAGGGCGGTTTGTAGGTCAAGTTAGATCTGTAAATCGTGAGAGTCATGACTTAGCACAGTAAAGCGGTGTATACGGGGAGACTGCAATAAGCCTTTAGTGCTTGCGCAGCTGACGGTCCTGTCCAACAATGGCAGGATCGTCACCCCACTAATACATACATACATGCAATTACACCAAGAAACATTCTGAAAGACGATCATAATCATAAACAATTATCATTTCTTTCCATAAACATTCGCACTTAACACTACATTGTCCACAAGACGGACACGACTAGCAGTTACTGGTAATTTGATACATATTTTTAGGACAAACTTTTAACTGTACATACATAATCTGTATTGCCGAAATTTGATATCGGTTCCATCAGTAAAATTATTAACACTCACACTCTCGACTAATATTCTTCTTCTTGTAACATATGTAAGACTAGATGAAGACGCTTTTTGCCAACACACTGCTAAAACATATCCCCTGCTCGTCGATAGGGATGGAAACGAGCATTGTTACTTGCCCGATATGACTGCTGCAAATCTATCCAGGATAATTTATCCTCCAAATTGGAAATCCGTTGTCGTAGTTCTTGTATGTCTTCATACTTCAACGATGCATGCAAATCGTGTGTCACTGTTTCTTCTGGTTCATGAGTCACCGTCTACTCTGGTTCAGCATTTGCCGTCTCGTCTGGTTCAGCAGTTGCCGTCTCCTCTGGTTCATGAGTCGCCGTTTCCTGTGGTTCAGAAATAGCCATTTTCTGTAAATAATGCAATGAAATATTTTATTAATTGTTTATATAAAAGTTTCAGATGCGTGAAACAATTCATTTTAACTCCAACTTTCGTCATTAAATACATTAATTACATAATGCTAAATTACCATATTCATCTCTTTAGTTGCTGGTTTCTGCTCATCTTCTTCCAAGTAAGAAGTTATATTCTGATCAAGCCACTCGTCAACTTTCGAGAACACGTAATTTTGATTGTTCTTCTCAAGCCAATCTTCAAAACTTTGTCCGACGAATTCCTCTTCGCTCTTCTCTTCCAACACTTTCTCCACATTCATGGGAGCCATTGGCAAGTTAAATGCAAGTGGGATAGATACATTTGAAGGAGGAGGAGTAGGTGGTTTCGTAGTAGATTCGTCGCCAACTAATTTTTCCAACAAGCGGAAGAGATTTCTTTCCTCCTCGTCGGTTATGGATATAGTTTCCCACATTATTGATGCAAATAAGTTACGTATTATATATCGTCTTCACTTATTTGGACACGGAGGGAAAAGCCACTGAGGTGCCAACTAAGTTTTTTTACTTTTAACGTTGTAATACTCTAAATAAGTAAATAAACCTGAAGGGTATCTAACTTGTCTAATTACAGGAATTAAAACTGAAAATGAATTGAAATCTCCTTTATAAAATAATGGACCCTCTTGATCGACAGTTAGTTTAAAAGCTTGGCAATCAACACGCTGATTTTGGGCTATGTATTTCGTACTCCTGCGAAATTTCACTAATTCTAATTGCTGAATTTTAAATATATTCAAATTCAGATTGGATCTAGTTTCCATTGATAAATAGAAACGTGAATGTAAACATAGAAATGTGAACTCGTGAACAACTGGACAACGACAAAATTTGTCCACAACATACCTGCTTTTATATACCCTTAGAGGGGAGAGAAAGGCGAGCTGGTAACAATAAGGGCTTGATTTTAGGTTCATCAAACAATGCTTGACATGTACCATAACTTGTCACACTACATAAACTTTTACGACGGTGCATCATGGAATAGAGAATGCAATGCATCTCAATTCCATGATGATCACGATGCAGAATGAAATGCATCCAAACATTTCTCAAAGTTTCATGCTAGTCGATGCTTGAAAATAACCCGTGAGAATAAATATTATTATATACCCTCGTTAAACTTTTAGAATAAAATAAGGTCTCCATCACACATCTGCTTGACAATCATACAATTATCACGCAGAGCACGTTCGACAATCCAAAATTTGTAATTCCACAATTCAAACCCGACTATGTATTTACATTGTCCTCGTCACGGTCACCCAACGATGCTACCCCATTTCATTTTCCCAGGAGGGTGGCCGTTTTTTTTTAAACCGACACAATTTGGCGTTGTCGTTGTTCGTGACCAGGTCGCATAACCGTTTCCCCCACTTTAAAAATCGAAAGGGGGGCCGGCGTCCAAAGTGTTTCTTTAGACACTGCTAACCTACACCAAGCAACTTTGCGGGGCCTTTTAAGATGGCATCTTGGTAGTTAATGGCAATGCATTTGGGTGGAAAAGACCCCCACCGGCCAATCACTTGACCGATCATGCCCATCCTCCGAACTTATCCTTACTTTTGACCCGAAGACCAAGTGTACAAAATTTCAAGTCGATAGAATGTATTTAAAGAGAGTTATCGTGCGTACAGACAGACATCCTGACAAATCTATGCATAAGGCCATCTTAAAAGGCCTAAATCATGCAGGAATTAGGATTTTGGATGAAGTATTTATTTTTCGCACATTTGCGGTCACTATTTTCGCTAAAAAATTGAAACTCTGTGACATTATGTTGTTATACAGAAATTATTGCACCCTTATTTTAGTCTGTATCGGAAGAAAAAAAAAGTTGTTATTTTCAAAATTTACCATGGGCTTTTCCACTCTAGATATTATTATTAAATACTCTAAGAATATTCCATTGACATACATCCGTAAAAACACATCCAGTTAGTATGCATCATGGCTTTAAATGTATAAAAATGTTTTACCAAATTTCACGACTTTAGTAAAACTTCTCCAATTATTTATTTAAGTATTTACATGCCCATTACATACATTCATAAGTGTTTCAATATTTCCAAAGTATGAACTCTCCCATGGTCAACCAACTGGCTGAAGGTGAGAAATTTTTTCCCACAGAAGTAACACCCATGCCTCGCTGCATTGTGACGCGTTCTGTGAATGGCCAAATTATGTTTCGAGTAGCTTTTGTACTCACACTTATCGCAGGCGTAGATGGGATCTTTATTCGTGGCATGTTTCGCCTCCACGTGCCGCTTCAGGCGTGATGAAGTGGAGAATCTCTGGTCACAAAATGGACACGGGTAATTCCTCTGGTTTTCATGTACAAATCGGACGTGGCGATGTAGACCACTCCTATTTAAGAAGGTCTGAGGACAGATGTGACACTTTGACCTGTCTCGGGTAGACTTTTCCAAATGCGTCTTCTGTAATGAAATAATTTGTAACTGATTTTGCACAATAGTAAATAATTGTTCGTCTAATTTTTCGATAACGTGCTAATTTATTTACCTCGTGACATTTCATGCTCCCACTGTGGGCGAAACTCCTCCCACATGTGGAACAATTATGCGGCTTCTCCATTGTGTGGGTGAGAATGTGCCGGTCAAGTCCACCCCTCATTTTGAATTCCTTACCGCAAAGTGTGCACCGAAATCGCACCGAGTTCTCGCCGTGTCCAGTTCTCAAGTGACTCGCCAAGTCGCCTTTGTTCAGGTAGGTTTTCTCACAAAAGGGAACTGTGCATCGTAAACGAGGACGAGCCTCCGTGCTGTGGACGGTGTCAGCATGTAGGCGTAAAGCTGTAAAGGAGGAAAACACCCGGTGACACGTGTTACAACTTGGTCGCTTCCGGTTGCTGTGAAGTTTCCACTTATGGCAAGATAAGACGACTTTGTTTTTGCAAATGATGCCGCAAACCTAGGCAGGACACAAGAAGGCGAAGGTGCATTATGAAATTAGTTTCAGTTTTGCAAATCTACTGGCTCACCTCGCATTTGACCTTGGCATCGGGATCGTGCGTGACCATGTGTCTCGTCAAATTATGACAGGTCTTGAACATTTTTGAGCATTTTGGACACTCCCATTTATATCCTGGCTTCAGATCCATATTATATTGGGCTTGGAGATTTAGATATTTATATGGACACAGTTTATGGTAACGTAAATTAATCTGGCTTGTTCAATACACTGTAAGAAAAATTCACACAAAGCTTAACCAATTTTTTCCCAACAAAACTTACACGTTTTAAAAGGATTGACTAGTATGCAAAATATTTTTAGCTATTTGTCGTGATAATGAAACAGGAATTTGGTAAAGTTTGTTTGGTTAACTATTTATAACTATTTATACAGTTATTCAACTTTTTAGTCATTTGTGCACCAAAGTTCATTTCTTACTGGTTGTTTTCTGGGATTGCTTACATGTGTAGGCGATGATTAGGAGTAAATTGGACACATAAAATAAGTTCTGATTCGTATGGGGTGAAAAAGGGTTGCGTTTTTTAATCTTAGCAGTGAGTGAAAATTTGACAAATCCTTGGGTAAAAATAGCCAACCATGCCTCGGGGGTGATACATAGTTAAATCACGTGGTCCACAGAAAGAATCCGTCACCAAGTGCACGACCATTTTGCGTAATTTGTTTTACATTTAATATGTTTGAAAGGATCTACTCCTAAGACTCTCTTTGTCCAATGAAGTTTACAATGTTACAGAACCAACGTTCAAGACGTGTACATATTCACTTCATCAAATTAAAGAGCATCCACTAAGGTTTTTGACTGCCCCGTCAAAGGCGCGCTGGGCGGGAACACAGCGAAATTAAATTTCGAAAAAATTATTTTTGAATAGACCAAGTTATAAGCTTTCCATTGATATATGTCACCAATTATTGAGTCATGGCTAAGACTAGAAAAACTTGGGTTGAAAGGCAAGAGTTGAAAATAAGAGTGATTGAGTTTCACACAAATCGAACAAACTATGATTCTAAAATCACTTGACAATTTTTCAAGCAAGAAGGTATTCCTCATTCAAATGTCAACTATTACATAAAAAGGTACGAGGAATCCAATTAACTCAAATTCAAAGTCCCCACTAGTCGACCTGCAAAGCTAGCGACGACAAAAGTCAAAAATCGCATAAAAAAATCTTCAAAAATTATCCATCAACGACAACGGCTGGCGCCGCAAGTAAGGTCAAGATTTCAAAAAGCTATCTGTGCGAAATCAAAGTCCATAAACTAGGGATTGTAGCCACGGAAAAAAACCAGCACCAAATTACAAACCAACACAACAGGAAAGGATTCATGCGCTGTGTCATAAATTGTTGAAGAAGATTAGGGGAAAAGTGGTCATCATGGACGATGAGTCCCACGTCACAGCTGACCCTTCAAATCTTCCAGGAAGGCATTTTTTCCATAGGTCCAACCCCTGTGAAGTAAAATATGAAGACAAAGTCCAAAAGAAAGACCAATTCACAAAACAATGAAGAATTTGGCAACGCATGTCTGGCATTTGTCATGTTTCCGATCCCGTTATTTTGGAGGGTATTGTAAACCAGGGGGTTTATCTTAAATCCTGCATTAAAGGAGGATTGGGATCTTTTATTACTAAAGATCATAAAAAAATAAAGTTTTGTTTTGGCCTGACCTCCCAAGGTCCCATGACGCAAAAAAGGTCACTCAGGACCGACATCTGAAAAAAATTGAATTTGTGCCGAAAAATGAAAACCCACCGAATTTTCCTCAACGGCGACCAATTGAGAAATTCTGGGCGCTGACTAAGTCCAAATATGCTAAGCTTTCAGAAACGCTAGATACCTTACGAAAATTTAAGAACAGATTGAAGAAAATCAGCTTGAAAGTAGGTGCAGTCGATGGGCGGAATTTGATGTGAAATCTGAAGAAGAAAATACAGTCTGTAGCAGATAGCGGAATTAAATCATTAAAATTTCAACTGTTTGACAATCCAGACACTTTGGTAGTAAACATATGCAACTTTTTTGAAACTACATTAACTGTGTATAAAGTTATGAGCATTTTATTGCGTCAGTCAAAAACCTTAGTGGATGCTCTTTATGTGCCTCAAATTGCCTTAGTATTTTATTATTCACCAATGCATGGATTTTTTTGGACAGATTCAAGACTTTTTTGATTTAGACATATGTTTGTCACATGGTGCATTTAGGTAAATATTTTCCAGAAATATACTAATTGTATGTATGCATTGTTGTTATTTCGAAGTTGTAAACAAAAATTTGTAATGTACTTTACACACAAGCATAAATAAATTTGTTTCCCACAAGATATTATTGGCGGAAATTATTGACGGCGCTTAATATTATTATTCCCGGGTGATGTAGATCTTTAGTACTAGAACAACAGTCAAAATACACTTAAAGTCGAATTCAACCTGCGTGACCTTGTTTTGGCGGTCGAAAGGTCAAAGGTCACCGATCCTCACAAGTGGAGTATCGTTGGAAAGGTTTCGGTGAGATGATTCCGAATATATATACTTTACTGGGTGTATGACCACTCCCTCATGTTCTAGAAGCTGAAGAATGGAAATCTTCAATTCTCCAGAATTTAGCACAGCAAGTAGATTGGGAGCTAACATACAATAGATGGGCACAAACTCAGAAATATTCTTCGGTCTCTGGAAATTCAGTTTCCGTTTCGAAAAATTCATATTTCCATGGAGGAGAAGAACGATCCTGCTAAGGCAAAAATCTTATCTATGAGTATGCATGTAGTGGTGGACATATTCCTTTTGCTACCATACATACTCATTTGTGCAAACTGATATAAATTAGAAACTGGAATAAATTAAACCCTTAGCATTGTATTTCATGTTTTTATGTATTTCGTTAATTCAGATAGTTACATTGATTCGCAGTATTCATTTTGCATTAAACCTTAGTAATTAAATAATCATACTTTTAGGTTTAACTTGAGACAACGACATTTACAATGTTAAATGTCGCCCGACAACTGAAAACTCGTTGTTAGCCCCGCATGAAAATTGTCATTGCCACCCCGCCCAAAATCAAAAAGTCACTGGTAGCAATTCGAAATCCTGCCGCTGTCATGCAGTGCAGCTCGTGATATCGAGCGACGAGCTTTTTCACGTCGTAGAAGTAGGCGTCGAGCGACTTATGTCCGCGCGTAAGAACGCCCCACAACCCAGTCCGCTCCTGTTGGAAGCCATGTTGGATGACGAAAGGAATAAAAAATCGACTCGGACAGAACCCTGGAGCGCGATTATCTGACATCCATTCAGGTTCAGGGAATTCGTTGTAGAAGAATCTCTTAATTACAGTCCCGCTTAAAAGGTGGGCTGGAATTTCGACTTCTTCCGGGGCACAATGGGCCAGGTGCCGGAAAATGTGGCCATTAAGGCAGTATCTTGAATTGGCTATTCTCATATACCATTGTGTACTATATAATTAACTTGTCCTCCGTGAAAAATTTTAAATGAAACGTTACACCCACTCAGGAGAACCAAGGGGGTAAACTTTTTCCATAGAGTTTTATTAATATAAGCAGAGGGAGTACCATTACTCTTTGTTCAGCGAGAATGCAAGCCACGTGATGTTTTGATTTGGTTGAGAACATAAACATTACGTCATCACTCATCACCACCATCAGTAAACTGCACCCACCATCACTAGAATGTTATATACAACACATACAAGGCATGTATTGTATGTATAAAATTCTGTGAGGTTCTGTGAGACTCAGTTTCAACGTCAGGTACATGGTACAGGTACCATGTTACCAAACTTGTTACCAAATTACGATAACCTTCAAATTCTCATTATTTCTTCATGACAAATATTTTCGAAATAATTTTTAAGTAATTCTTAACCAATGTTTCTGACCACGGTCAATAAACCAACATTGTGGTTGGATGGACCCCACTCCGATCTGCTTGTTTTTCCCCAACATGAGAGCCATCATACAAGAAGTAAATCGTCATTTTAGTCTGTCTGTTAGTCTGTTTAGTTTGAGGACTGTCGGTATGGTGGCTCGTTCGCATGCAATTTTAGATCACCCAATCAATTAACCTGCTCCTGTCAGGCCTTGACTTTTTCAAATACATTACGGAGATAGGGAAAATATATCTACTATCATCTCCGCTCATCTCCGGGCTCAATTGACTCCCTATTGATGTCAATCGGTACCCAGTAGTATGATAAGTATTCCCTGCTGCGTATAGCTGCGGTAACCAAAATCTGCTCTGACCACACCCACTCCAAGTTGTTGAAATCAAGAAATCAAATTCAAGCTAAATCGATATATTTTAACCAGCTCAAAATATCCGCAGGCATGCTAGATGCACAGCAGTGTCTGGGGGTCACAGGGACGTATTTTGGTTGCTACAATCACACCCCCAAGGGGGTGTGGCCATCATAAGCATTTTCATTCTAGGTAAACATAGGCATGCGATATATCATTCTTCTTGGCTTTATAAGGAGGTTATTATGGAGAATAATAAATTTAACAACCATATCAACAGGGGGTGTGGCCACTGCACTATGGGCCAGATTTTACGAATTCGGGCCAAAAATATATATAGGCCGCACTTAAAGTCATAAAAAGTAATTTTTTGCGTACAAGTATCAAGTAAAGGATGGGTTTCCAGAGTTAACGCTTAATAGCAAACTGGCACACCCCAGGGGGTGTGGCCATCAACGCCCTTTTTAGTTAACCCAGGTAAGTTAACCCAGGCATGCGACATGTTATTATTCTTGACTATATGAGGGGATTAGGATGCAAAACACGAAATTCAAAAACCACACCCCCTGGGGGTAACCATAAAGGCCTTTTTTAGTTGAAGTAACCCAAGGATCTTGTCATGCTCAACAACATTGACAAAGTTGTGACTGTTGAGAAACCTTAGCTCAATGGGTGAAATATATGTTTCCAGATTTTTTAAATTCGACCACACTCGCTCGAGATTAATAAGGTCACAAGGTCAAAGAAATTGTACAACATAATGAATATCGCTAAATTTCAAACACTATAAATCGAACTGCATGTTGAAAAAATACTTCCACACCGTGGGCACTACCAGCAATGTTCAAATGGTCATATGCCACACCCCCAGTGGTTGTGGCCCTCGGCGACTTTTCGATTTTAACGAAACCATGTCAATATGTCATTTACCGCAGCTCGACAATGGGGATTCGACACAATATCTAAGATTGGCAAACCGTACCCATAGTAGGTGTGGTTCTCAGAAAAGTTTCTATTTTAATAAAACGATGGAATGTGTTATGTCATGTTTCTCAGCTCGGCGGGGGGATCTCGACAGAATTATTAGATTTTTGAAACCACGCCCCCAGCGGCGTCCAGCGACTTGTTTTCTCCAATTTTACATTACACCCACACCGAAATAGCACCACCAGTACTTCTACATTTCCATTAAGGCTCGTGTTTTCGGTTGTGGTGGTTTTGAGTGCATTTTCAGCTCATATTTTAATTTGTCAAAAAGTTTAATGTTTTATAATTTGAACGCTATATTAAAAACCAAA